TTCACCCTATAGATATATATATATCCATAAAGATTATGAGTGACTAGAATTAAAAAAAAATAATAAAAAAAAAAAAATAAAAACAAATAAATTCTATTTAGAAGCAAGATTTATTTTGAGCAATTTTATCCAAATTATCATTGATATTATATACATATATATATATATATATATATATATATATATATGTATAATTTGCGTTGCCCACTTACCTCAGAATAGAAGTTGTTTTGAAGGGAACTTACCTCAGAATAGAAATTATTTTGGAAAAAACTTTGCATGATTAAGTTAGGGTAAAATAGAAACAACAAATAAATAGGGTGAAAACAAAATTTTGATTAAAATTTTTCTCTTTCCTTTCTTTTTTAACTATTTCCACCTAACCAAACAAAGCCCTAGTAAATTTCAGTTTCTTTAGTTAATTAAAATTCCCTTTTGTTTGCTTTCTTTTCCGATTCAATAATGTTCTTTCATATATGTTCCCAGTAGTATTAATTTCTTCTTTAATATTTGCACACACAATTCCTTTTCAATATTAATTTTATTTCATTACAATTCGTTCCCATTTAAAGTCATTTTCACCTAGGCAATTGAACCCATTAAAGGAAGTTTTCTCTATTTCTACGATCACCAGGTCAATTATTTTCCAAAAGAGACTCAATTTGACCAAGATCTCTAACTTAACCAGCCCATTAGTTTTGGCACGCTTGTATCTAGCCAATTTTTGAATCGGCAAGCTTTGCCAATTTAAGGGGTCAACATTTTGACACGTCCGGTGGGACCCGTTGGGAGAACGAATTGCAAACATGCCTCTTGGGCCACAAAATTCCAAATTCGTTGCCATGGCAAATGATGATAATGGAGAAAAAAGTCAACTGATTCCTTCTACTGAAGGCGAATCGGCTATGCGATCTGACAACCCATAGGTGGATATACAAACAAGAATGGATCGTAAGTTGGATATTATAACAACCCAGTTGTCAGTTGGTCAAAATCGTCCAGATCAACCCAGTTGTCGGTTGGTCAAAATATCAAACGGAGAGTTCTGCAGCTCATGAATTCATCTCTCAACAGATCACCACGCCATTGGTGAACCTTCCTATACCATATTCTCCAACACTCGGGGGGTAACTGATGACCAGTCAGCCATATGGTTGGGCAGAAAATCAATCGCAATCTGCTGCCGATCTCAATCAGCATCAAAGGTGGTCAGAATATCAGTTCAATCGGCTTAGGGAAAATCGGCCATCAAAGAAATTTTGTTCTTTTCGGCCGATGTGGCCAAAATTATTAAGGAATATGAAAGTTCAAAAAGATCAGCTAAGAAAACTCCTCATTGGCATATATAATTGTCAGATCTTCATAATAATTTAATTATAGCCAATTTTGATTATGCTTTGTCAACATAGTTAGAAAACACGTGGGGGACAAGTACTTCATGGGTTTATGGGCTGCCGATATCAGCCAACTTTTTGAGAAACTAGGAAGAAGCCTAAATTGGAAGATATGCTTGATTTGAAATAATGATCATCTTATGGGTGATCCAAAATAAATAAAGTTTTGGAGCTCATTGATTTTTCTTCTCATTCCAAGTGATGGTTCAAAATTTCCTTTCTAATGTTCTTTAAATATCTCATTGGCCTTGTTGACACCCTTTTTTGGCTGGTTACGTGACAGTGAAGTGGTGATGACGTAGATTTGAAATTGATAATTATTGTGCGAGAATTGATCATAAAACAATATTATTACGGAAGCATATTAGGGGTTAGGAGCAGGTTGTTAGGATAAGATGGATTTTAGTAGTTGTGATATGGTTATTTTTGGATGAGGTTTGAAGAGTTTGGTTAGGGTTTAAATTATATTTAGGATTAGAGATGAAAGAAGAATGAAATTACAGCAAGCATGTCTACACCATGATTAAGCCATTGAAGCATAAGGCCTCACGTTAGGGTCGTTGGATTCAAGACTAAATTATTAAAACTCGTGAAATCAAATCGTCAATAGTTTTTTAGCTTTTAAACCTAATTGAATCAAGATTTGACTCTTCTATTGCTGATTTGGTAATCACTGAGTCATTACCCAAGCTAATATAACCTCCCTTTCTTCAATGAGGGAGTGAGGAGTCACTCTGTGTGACTTAGATTTGAGCGTGATTTAAGTTCGAGCTCTATATATAGTAAGCATTCGTAGGAACTACAAGATCACCCCAAGGAGGTCACGGACCGGCCATAGAACCCTATTCAATAAGTGGAACGCATTAGCTGTCCACTCTCAGATTAGGCAATAAGGGTCGGAGAAGGGCAATCACTCATTCTTAAAACCATTCTTTGGACCAAAGAGGCAAGGGGTGTGGGTGTTTATTTAACCAAAAAAAAAAATTGGTTGCATTTAGTAAAGCCCAAAGCTAAACTTCAAACTGTACCCAATCCAAGCCCAATAGCCTATACAATTAGATTGCAACTTTTCATAACATTTCAGGTCATAAGCATCCCAATTCTGCATAAAAGAACAGGATGATAACAAGGCTTTTAAAGTTGGGCTTAAACAAAACTTTTAAGACTCACAAACTAACCTGATGAAACTGAAACGAGGTCTACGTGGTCTAAGACAGACAACACGTACTGACCCAATACTAGTGGGCCTAACTGTGTCTTCCATTAGGATGCTAATGATTTAGTACTAGGCCTCATTTGTTCCAGGCTTTAAGCCCGGAAGTGGGTTGGTTTAAGTCTGGGAAGAAACTAACGTCAAACCCAGCCCAAGTTACCACTTGAACCTTACACCTCTTAAGATTTTTGAAACAATGCACTACACATTGTTATGAACTAAGTCAGACAATCCTCTTCAACGGGTATTGCTATAACACTTCAAGCGTGCTCCTGCTCGCGCGCTTTCGCTCCTATTGCCACTATTTGTAACTTAATTTTGCCACTTTTGCGCTCTCAAATTCACTCTCTCTCTCTCTCTCTCGTTCCTGCTTTATGTGAATTAGGTTATGAATCTTGATTTGAGGTTAGTCCATATCAAACTTAGGTAGTTAATTAGCCAATTAAAATCTTTTCTCATGACTTATATTTTGCCGTGCACAGAAAAGGAATAAGATCAACGACAACAACACTCAATAACATTGGGGAGGGATAAAGTCATGAGAACCTGCTACTGAATTGATCTCAGCCGTCTTCGATGCACCGCAGAATATAGATATACTGAAGAGGATGTTGGTTCATTCGAAGTATTCACTTTTTTACCATTATGTTTGATTCCGTAATGGATCTATTAAACTTCAAACAAATTTAGTCCTCAATTTCAATTATAGAATAGGGCTTTTTTTAACGTAGTTCGAATGCAACGTGACATCCATAATAATTTTAGTTTTATAACAAAGTATGGCTCCGAAGTAGTCAAAAACAATTTTTGTTATAGGTCAACAATTTGAAATTTGGGTAGCGTATATAAAATTATAATTATAGGCAAGTCCACTTGAAATTACATCCAGAATTCATGGACGAAATAGTTAAATTGTATACTCCTTAACGATATTGGATGGAAGTTTTGTTAAGGAGGGCAATCTAATTTTTAAATTGAGAGAGATTCGTGTAATTACAATAAAATTATAAGAGAGTTCTACATAATTTACCTATATATTACTCAAATTGGAGAACAAAAATTGACATTGGCAATGCACTTTAGAAAACAAAAACACTGATGTTGAGTTTAGGAAAACCGAGTCGGTGTCTTGAATTTTAACTAAATTTTGGAGTGATTTAGTACTCCCAAACACAGCATAAGACAATACAATCAAACGTGAGCTGTAAATTTCTATATATTTCCATGCTGATGAACAAGTTATTTTAAAAAGAAACGAGTTAATAAAGAATAAAATTATTAATCATTCAAAGTCTGCATTAGAAACTCAAATTCATTGAGAAAATGAAAACAACCATAAAATAATCCCATCTACATTAAATTGAATAATGCCCTGATTGCAATGTAATAAAAAAAAATGATGATGGGAAATGCTGGAGCACAACACATTTTCTTTAAATAAATTCTTGCTAATCATTCACATCACTGGAGTGAAATGGAATCATTTTTCTTTCATAATCAGATGCTTAAAAGAGAGAGTGCACCTACCAGTATAATCTGTGTCCTTGCTGCATTCGGCGCATGCTGGAAAGGTTAAGGGCATAAGTACTTCAACATGATGAATTCAAGATCAAACCTGAAGCAGAACTTTAGTCGTGCATGATTGACATTTTGAGTTGAGCAAACGAACTGAGTAGAGCTAAGACAAGGCTGACTGAGACCATTCGATACAAACCTGGCGCAATTGGTTGGGTGACATTGCTTGCTTTGCTACATGTAGAACACTTTGAAACGCGGAGTTAGCAGTGAAGGCCACCACGAACCAGTGTGTTCAACAGGAAACTTCAAATGCCGCTACTATATCATGCTTGCAAATATATATATATATATATATATATATATATATATATACTTTGGCAGGCAGACGGGAAGTGATAGCCAACAGTTTCCTTGATCTAAGCAAATCAAAACTGAAGCTAGATAGGCTTATACAAGTTAGAAATCTCTTATATAGAAAATTGAACCTTGATAGGCAGCCTTCAAAAACCCTAGAAAGTATATGTTTTTTCCCATTATCCTTACTAGTCAGAATGTACCAAGATTTCTATAGTAAAATTCTCATTTTGGGATTATGAGCTTCTAGTTCTTATTTGTCACTCGTAGCATGCTACTATACAGTTCTTTCTGCCAATGTTTCATCTACTTTTATCTCTAGCTTCAGACCCTCAACCCCCAACCAGCAAGCCCTTACAACCAAAGAACATTTCGACATTCATAAATAATACCACAACTTTGCAGAAATTTGAGCCCAAGAAGAACTAGTGTTGCATAATTGACAAAAGATGGTAATTTTTAATGATATAAATAGCATGTTCAAACCGAGAAAGCTAAGAAACATATGCATGTGGAAACAATTCAGGCCAACTCCAACCAATTTGATCAATGAATAGACTGTATAAAGTCAAAGATACAAATAATAAGTTGATATGATCAACATCTCCTCTGGCAAACTGAGTATCCCAACAGAGGGCACATTTCACGTAAGAGCTGAAGAAATTTTTTTTCCCCTTCTTTACTTTGTTGCTTTAAAACTTATAAAAATGATAAAACAATTGTTGCTATGAATCTTGTTATCATTGGTATGAGTTCAGGTGGAATACTTGACAACTTGGCTTGTATGAGCTCTTTGTTGCAGCCTGCTCAAACTTCTTAATGGCAGCTTCATTCTCTTCTAAGCTGGTCTGAACAAAATAACGTATCCACCACGATGAGCTCCGCATTTTGGCCTTCACAAGTGAAACATTCAAATTTTCATTCTATTGTCAAACTGTTTATTGATGAAACAATATAAAACCTGTTGACCAGAAACAAGGATCAAACGCCACAAAGCCTGAAACAACTCTATTATGAATAGTCTTCCAGAATCCACACCATTGTAATGAATTATTAGATTAAAAATAAATAAGATTAGTGCTTCATTAATGTTATTAGTGTTGAAGACCATCCTTTCTTGTGTATCTTTTTGTTGAACCTCTATCTGCTACAATTCCTTATTATTCGGACATATGACACCGCTATATGTCAATACAATTAGAAACATTTTTGAGAGAAATTAACTCAGCAAACAAATATATACACATATACATTTCTGATTAGATTCCGTTTTGGTAACTAAATGGCTCTATTAGTAATAGTCTTTAAGAACTTTATGAGAAAACGTTTGAACTATCCTTAAAAGTGAGATCCAAGAAAATGACAAGGATACAGTATTCAGTTAACCGTGGCCTGTTTCAAATTGAGAATCAATCCAATTACCAGAGAGCATATTAATCCAATTACTAGAAAGAACATTGAAATCATATGAGCAGGATAGCCACTTACTGGACGTCCGAATTTGGACAGCTCCGCAACTTTAGCTCTCTGTTGACCTGGATGACCTAAACATGAAAGTGGAAAGAGTGAAAACCTGAATAACTTGCATCACTTATTTCTTCAATCAAATTGTAGCACCAGAAAACAAGAAGCAAAGATTGAGTCCTGAACAAAAGATTGAATGAGGTTCTCCTAGTTGAACAATATTACTTTTACATATATACATATATAAACAATAATTTTCGAATACTATTATGATATAAATGGATGAATTTCAAGTCTGATAACTGATTATGATGAGGGAAATTAATTGCAAGGAAGATTCTCACCCTTAAATATGTGAGTATGAAAATCTGAAGGCAAATTCTTCGGAAATTTATTTGTTCAAAAGTGCCGAGCAGGCAGATGCCTGTGTGCATGTGTTATGACACACACACACACACACACACATATATATATAGAGACAGAGAGAGACAGAGAGAGATTGTCCAAAAGGAGAGTGGATAGATTGCAGACTTCTGGTACTTAATTAAAGCAAAGCAATCTCATTTTGCATGATATCTCTCATTAATCAAAGCAAAGATTCCAACAAATTGATATGTGAATAGATGTTTTGCAAATTTTATGAATATTGAAACTAGAGAATTACCTGTAAAAATAACAAGACCATCAGAGGACACCCTTGCCAAATCTGGAAGAGTCTTGTTCAGGTACTTTGGAGACAGGTAATCCAATGCATCTGACACAATAACAAGAGAAAAGGATTTTGCTCTGTACGGCAGTGGAAACTTGAGATCAGCTACACGAACAATGCCTTCCCGTACAAGACTTTTGCACTTCCCATCAGCATCCTCTATGTCATATGGTTCCACACCCCATGCTTCAGTTTCCTCTTCTTTTAACAATTTAGAGAGAACCCAGCAAGTGTCAGGGCCCACATGCAACACTCTGCGCATGCTGTCACCGTATGCTTTCTTTAAAATAGGTATTGCTTTCTGAACTTCTAATGTGCAAGTGAAATCACCTAAATATAACAATTATTGAGTTATTAGTTACGAAAAACTACTGTGTCTTATCCAAATGAATACCAACTAGTATGAAAAAATTACTGGTTCTTTATCTCTAACAAGTTCAACCTCAATTTTGCTGCAATATCTTTTGTGGTTGTGAAAGAAAAAAAAAATGATTTAGACAAAGTTGTTGCTATTTCTCATAATAAAGAAATTTCATATTAGAAAGCAAAAAATTATGAAATCCAGGTAAAAAATTGAAACAACTCAAGTTTCAAAGATAAAAATGTTCAGATTAAAGATTTTATCTTTATGGTTAGAGGGTAGTAAACATTTTCTGTAGGTCAACCTTTGGTGCTGAATCAACAAAGTTATCTAGTAGGACACAAGATAGTACATAATACTGTCTGGAATTGATAATTTTTAAGTAGCAGTCAATACATTCTTGGTTCTGTCATCTCAGTTGAAGTGTAAGTTCGCAAAAGAAGTGACAAGAAATAATTTCTACCTTGTTAGTGTTTTTCCCTTTTCTGTACAGTTGAAGGTTAATTTATCATTATTCTACAAACAACCAACCTCAGGCAATACAAATGCCGGTAAAATAGGTGCTTGCACCTTAATTTATGACTACTTTGTCTAGGAGGTTCTTGTGCACTATCCCCCACTTATCATTTCTCCATTCCCTTGAAAAGTTGAAATATGTGAAAGTTAAGTAACAAAACCAAGACTCAAGTCCAAGACATACATCACAATGACCATGTTTAAAGGATTACAAATGAAAGTAATGGATACGAAAAAATAAATTTTGTGACCACAAGCCAAAAGATATGTCTATTGGAGATTCCCAATCATCTCTACAGAATATGTTAGTTGCTCACTCAATATTTTATATGCTAAAGTGAAGAAAAAACACTTCAACCTGTTGTTTTATTGTTCTCAACATCTAAAGAAGTTTAAGATGTAGATATTTCCCTAATTAACAATAATTTTTAACATTATTTGTTAAACTTCCATTATTGGAATGGAAGATATAATCACCCTCCCATTCAACAATCTGCGAAAATATCACCTTTGCATATGTAAAAAATGAACCATAAAAAGCAATATATTCAATGAAAAAGTGCAACATTTTTACCTTCGACCTTACTGACTGCCTCTTTGTCACCCCCAAATACACCTAGATTTATGAAAAGTAATAGTTCAGTCAATGCATGGAAAGAACAAGAAATTAGAAATGTTTATCAACTAGTAAGAAAATGAAATATAAGCACAATATATAAGAATAAGTAATATTTTATGCTGTCCCAAATTTAGTCATGACATCATAAAGCCAGGATCATGATCAGCCAGCGGAATCGAAAAGATAAGAATCATTTCAATAAAATTGTGTTAAGGTTGTAGGCAAACCAAATACATACCCGAACCGCTGTAGTAACAACCTACCAAAAGAACTGCACCCTGGATGTTCCAGAAAAAATTAAATAATAATTAGTATCTGAAAAGAAGCTGGCACAGCATTGTATCATTTATAAAAGATGGTAAGAATATAACATATGCAGCAAGTGAATAAGGATAAAAAGAGAATACGTTAAAAATAAAAATAGTTATAAGTAGGATCTGTATAAAATGAGATCCAGGTACCAGAAAGACAAGGACAATGGAGAGTAAAGGAGAAGCACGTGATTTGGGATGAAAAATTGCCCCAAATGGAGCACCTCCATTGCCCACAAAGCGCCGTGTGAGATTTGCATGCCTCCTTGACATAACTATTTGTTTAAAAAACAAAGAACCTCCAAGACTTTACACTGGGACAAAAGAAACAAGCAGAATAAGATCAGTTGTCCAAGGCCAAAAGACAAAATTGAGACACAGCAAATTTGCTAATATTGTCAAACCAGAAACAATGGCTCATAAATTAACAATTCAGATTTCTTATTCTGAAATAGCAAAATGATGGAAAGTACACGAGAAATTGATTGGTTTCCGATTGCAACAGGAAAATGAATCCTTGGAAAGAAAAACACACAATAACTTATTCAATTTAGATTATAACAATTCAACTATTTTTGTATAATGATTTAAAAATAAAAAATAAAAACACACACACACACACACAAGCATGAATAAATTGAAGTGACTATGCTAGCACAAGTTTTAGCTCCCATCAGTGAGTCTTTTAAATTGCCTTCTTTAAAGGAGGTAACTCAGCAGGGAAAAAAAAAAAAACACAATTTACTCTGGATTAATATACAGCATGAATAAAATATGAAAGACTATTCTGGCACAAGTTCCCATCAGCTGGGCCTTTAAATTGCATTATTTAAAAGAAGGCAACTCAGCAAGGCACTGTACCAGTCACGGAAGAGCTTCCAAAATGCCCTTATTTGCATGTCCATATCAAGGTTAGATGTCGTTTGGGGTTTCCTTTTAGCAACTAGAGTAGTTTATAGACAAAGATTCGGTATCAGTATAGCTCGACTGATTAAGGTGAATATGTTAATTGATTGATAGTATCCCACAAAGCTCGTGGATCAATTGGGGTAAAGCTGTGAACCAATAGAAGCCGAACTCAGACACCCAACCAATCAAATTGGAAGTTGGATCAGTCAAATAATAATCAGTAGTGTATGGGTCAATCAAGAGGGTTGAGCCTAACAGATTACATTCCTATAGAATTTCCAATTGCAAAGAGGATTCCTATTGCTTTGAAACCTTGTAGAGTGGTAGAAGAATTGAAAGTTCAGGGAGGGTTGAGTGCATATATGCGAGTGATTGAGTGCCCATGCAACACCCATTAATTTCTCATAACTGGATTTTGATCTCCTTCCCTGGGTAGACTTAGCCACATTACTGAACTACATAAATCTTGGTTTGCTTATTTACTGCTTTTAGCAAGATCCTAAGTGATCACCATCTATGAAAATATGTCCTTAAACTTGAACACTATCAATTTAGGTCGATTCATAACCATCAGAACTCAAAGAAAGTAACCAAATTGATAAATTCAATCCATAAATCACACAACGAAGTTTAACATATACAATTTTAACTATAAATTCAACTCAGATCTGCAAAGTTCCACTAAGTGTCTTCATTGTTAAAGACGTCGAACACAAAAAAGATTCAAAACCTTATAAGAGAATGCAGTTAATAGTTACCAGCTAATATTACTTAATCCATAGAAAACTTGACAACAATAGAGCATTATACAAATCAAGAACTCAATCAAACATGGAAATAACATAGCGATTGAATCGCGGAAAGAGAATGTAACACTAACAGTGGGGAACTGAGAATTGAAGTAACGAGTGGGATTAACGAAGAAAACCTGAGATCAGCGAACGAAGTGACTCTGGATCGTAGATCTGGTATATAACTATATATATAGATACAGAATAGATACAGATATAAATATATATAGAGAGAGAGAGAGGAAGAGGGGTCTCTTGGTTCAGTGGTGAAGAGGAATGGCGAAGGTTGAACTAGGAGTGCATGGGTGCCAAAGTCATTACGCGCGTTCTGGTCCACGATATATGATGGTAGTGTGTGACTCTGTGTGTGTATATATATTGAATAGTGTCGGCGGTGATCCTAAATGTGTTGAAAACTATCGCTTGTGGGGATTCGGCTCGGGCCCAATCACTCACTCACATGGTGGTGGCCACCGGTGGGCCCATGTATAATTCTTGTACGGCAAAATGGTGCGATGTGATGAGGGTGGCGTCCTCGTGCACTCGTCGGTCCGTTTGATCAAGTGTTGATCCAACGGTAGTTTTTAATTTTAAAAAATAATAATAATAATAAATAAAGAAAAAAAGAAGAATAATAATTTTAAGTAATAGAAGAAGAAAAAGAAAATAAAAAGGGCATAACTTCGAAAAAACATAGTATTATAGTGTGATTTTTTTTTTTTTTTTTTTTAAGCTAAAGCAATTACACACATACCCTATATCGACCTCTTCAAAGGAGAGAAATAGGTGATACCGCTTGGCTATTTGGTCTTTTGGTGATTGAAGTAAAGGATTTTACTTTTTTTTTTTTGGTTCAAAGAAATTACTAAAATTTAAAGATAGCAGAAAATAAGAAAAAAATTTAAAACTAAAATAGTATATAATATGGTAGGCAGGCCAGCTAGGAGCGTGTGTTCCTTCTGAACATATTATTATATTATAATGTAATGTGTTGCACTGTTAATATAAATTATTTTTGCTATTTTTTTAAAAGAAAATGCCTTAGGTGACCCCGACGATTTCAGAACATTCTGTGTCAACTATAAGATTTATTGTGATTTTTTTAAAAGTAGGATAAATGTTGTTTTATGAATTATCATTTGATATTAAATATTTATGGAATAGAAGAACCGCTTCCATAGTGGCCACTTGGAATACCCCTCACCACAAGCTTTTTTTATTTATTATTTTTTATTTTTTAGTGTTTGATTATTTTGTTGTAAAATATTTACTTTATTTATAAATTTTTAACAAATTATTTTACATGTTCTGTTCGATAGATTAGATCCTAACTTTAACGTAAACCTTTGTCAAATATCGACAAAGTAAAAATAAAATAATATTTTACATCAAAGCAAACGGAGTCTTAATATAAATAAAACATTTTCACTTACCTCCTTTAATGGCCAAGATTTGTTATTTACTGCAATCATGTGATCCGAGTCAATTACGAATACGAAGCTTATTTTCTTTAAGTTTATCTCAGCCAAAGAATTGCCCCTAAAAATCTCAGTCAGCACACTTGGGCAACACACACAAAATATATTTAGTTCTTATATAAATTTGTTTTTTCAATCGACTTTATATAAGGTCACAATCTCTGTAATTAAACTCGGTTACTAGTAAATATAATGATCTTCTTATAACAATATAGGTAGGTCCGGATTGTGCCTAACTTCTTGAAGTAAGATCGAGTAACAAAAGAGTTCTTCAAGTCGGTCTAAAAATCGTTTTCAGCTTGGATTGGATTCAAGTTGCACTTGCATCCATATTGATTTTCCTGAATTAATGTAATTTATATCAAATAAATGAAAAATAAAAAAGTCTTCGTAATTGGTTAGGCTAAAATAGAAGTGATATAATGTGCAATAATGGTGCACATTAATAAATTCCCTTCGATTCAATTTGAACCAATCTGTATGTTACACTTTAATTTTGATTCCAAAATTAGTAGAGAATCATTAGGGTTAAGTTAGATTTAATTCATGGTTTAGAGGTTAAAAAAAAAAAAATTCAATGTTGGTTAATAATATTTATTAACAAAGGTGTGCATCAGCATCGTCATTGAACCAATGTTATACATTCTTTTTTTAACAACCTTTATCTCATTCATTAAATAAATTAATAAAATAATATTCGAACTCATGATAAGTTTATGATGATTTTTATTATTAATCTTGAAGTTCTTTTGCTATTTTTCATTATGCACTGTTTTAAAAGGTCCGACACTAATAAAAATAAATAATAAAAAAAAAAAAATCATTTATCTAACAAGTTGGAGAGGTAACTTCAATACAATTTAATTTAATATCGATTCAATTTGATTTTAATATTTATTAACGAGTAGTGATATTGTACCGATTTGTTGCAGTGAATTACCTAATCAAAAGTTTATTATTAATTATTTATACATAATACAAGTAAGTGGGCAATTTAGGCTTTGTTTGGATTGGCTTTTCAAACGCTGCTTTTAGCTTTCTGGGCTTAAAAGCTATTATGAAGTGTGTTTGGATAGTTTTATAAAAGAACTTTTAGCTCTTAGAAGAGCGTTTTGGAGAACCTGGGACCCCAGCTTTGGCAAAATGCTCTTCTAGATACACACGGGAAGCTGTTTATGGGTTTAATGAATCTTTCAATATGACAAACGTATCCTTTTCTTTTAGGCATGGAGAAATAAAATTACAACATTGCTATTATAAAAGACACTGTATTATTCTTAAACTCTAAGGACAACTCAAACGACCACTTCAGGAAGATCGTCACTTTCTTTCTATAAGGACAACTCAAACGACAACTTCAGGAAGATCGTCACTTTCTTTCTAAATCCTAAGGACAACTTCAGGAAGATCATATCTCTTTCGTTTCAGGCAAGGATACGACATCTTTTACTTTGTTATATATGAATGATTGATTCAATTTTGTATATGATTGAAAGTATGGTGTGAAGTTTGGAGAGAACAAATTTTTGAATTAATTTTCTTAACCCATTTTTTATTTATGCCCTAATCGATCACGTGAATGTTGCATTATTAAACAACCAATTTTGTATTAATAACCATTTTCCCATGATATATGATACATATACATATACAACATTATAACATTTGTTATAAGTATGTTTTTTATACTGTGCTTGACATATTATTATGAGTATGCTTTTTATTTTGTGCTTGAGATATTGGAGGAAACTTTAATTATAATTAAAGTATCGAGTATTGTATTCTTTTATTTGTTGTATATAAATGATTAATTCTATTTTGTATATGAATGTTGGAATGAATATATGGTGTGAAGTCTGGAGTGACCAAAATTTTGAACTAAGTTTTCCATTTTTTATTTATGCCCCAATGGATATGTTGTATCATTAAATATTGTATGAACAATCATTTTTCTATGATATATGGATACATATACATATACAACATTACAACATTTGTTATAACTATGCTTTTTATACTGTGTTTGACATATTGTTATGAGTATGCTTTTTATACTGTGATTGAGATATTGGAGAAAACTTTACTAATAATTAAAGTATATTTTATTTTGTTGTATGTGAATGATTGATTCTATTTTGTATATTAATGTTTTTACCGTATCTTGTTTTTATTAATATTTTATTACTATTATTATGCGAATTTTTATGAATAACAATTTCTCATTATTGGTGAATTTTTATTTTGTAGATAAGTACTACTTGATACTAGCTATCCAAACATGAAAGGTTTTTTAGCCCCATATAGAGGAGAAAGATACTATTTTCCTGAATTTCAGCGTGGTAGTAAGCCCAGAGGATCTCGAGAAATATTTAATCAAGCACATTCGAGAAATATTTAATCAAGCACATTCCTCGTTGCGAAGTGGTATAGAACGAACTTTTGGTGTGTGGAAGGCAAAATGGAGAATCTTACAAAATATGCCTAATTTTAAGTTTGATAAACAAGTTGCCATTGTTAGTGCTTTGATGGCTCTCCATAATTTTATAAGGAGGGAGGCTATTGTTGACATAGAATTTTAAACGTATGCAAAAAGATGATTATGTACTCATTAAAGAAATTGGCGAATCCAATATTTCCTTCACAAGTGATGATACTACTGAGATGGGTGTTATTCGGGATAGAATTACTACAAAGCTAATGCTTAGATGAATATTTGGTATTGTTATATTAATAATGAGATGAGTGTTATCTGAGATAGAATGGCTACGAAACTCATAATTGGATAAACATTTTGTTAGTTGATTCTTAATACAATGTACTATTTTTATATATGACATATTGTATTATTTGATTATACTGAAAATTTTGTTAATTAATGCGTATTTTATATATGGCATGAATTATTTGATTGTGTATTATTTGATTATATTGAAAGGGTTGTTTGTATGTGTTTAGAAAAGAGTTAGATTAAAAAAAAAAAAAAAAAAAAAAAAAAAAAAAAACCATGTTAACTACTTTACATTACCAAACAGTCCAAAAAACACTCAATTCAGGGGCAAAATAGTTATTTTAGCATTAGAAGAGCTTAAGCAAATGATTTGCCAAACATACATTAAAAACCCTTCTGGCCTTAAAAGTTCTTCTAAAATACAGTTCTCAAATAGTGACTTAGTGTGCAATATTCATTTTCCTTTATTAAAGTCAAAATTAATTTAGTTCTGCATTACTTTTTAAATCAGCCAAACCGGTCCCTATTCAAACCTAACCTAGTTTCCAACCATGGTTTGTCATCGCAATTTAATGGACTTGATAAATATCGATGCAAAATCGGCCGATTCATAAAAGTATGTAACAGTATTGAACCGTTAAAAATGAATTACAAATAAGAACAACCATGATTTCAACTCAATACGAGCTATGTTCTCTTATAACGTGAATAACCTATTCTACTCAATAAAAAAAAGAAATTAAATTTTTTTTTTGATTAATCAACATCACGGGACAAGATGCTTGCATGATATATGCCAAATGGGCCATCGGCTAAGCCCTCAAGAATGTTCTGAAAATAGTGAATCCACTCATCCTTCTCACAACACAAATATTCCGAGGATGCAAACACTGATTACTTCGAGAATATTATTGATAAATGACCTAACTTTGGACAGTTTGAGAAGTCGTTTTCGACTTGAAATGAGTGATTTTTTAGGGTGGAAATAATATGTATTAAGAAGAATTCATTAGCTTTAGTGGGCTATGTTGGTCGTCGTTTAGGACACCTAATTCGCATTTTCTTGTTTAATAGGGGTATGTATTACAGAATTTTTGTTAGAATGACCTAAACAAATCAGATTCATCTCAAATTTTATATTTACTAATATTTAGTGATTATGTTTCATATTTTATTTTTTAGAATTTTTAGAAGCTAATTTTTTTTGGGGTTATTTTTTTAAGAGGTCTGTTTTAGTTTCCTTTGTTATTAGTTTTCTTAATAGTTTTAAAATTATCTTTATTATAAATATATGTATTTAAAGAACAGAAAAATAATTTAATTTAATTATTAATAATATTTCAAAATTTTATAATTTTATAGATTCGGTTCTTTTGCAATATTTATTACTTTGAAGTGAGGAGTGCTATATTGTCAAAATAAAATACATATATATATATATATATAATACTAATGCATGTTAGTGAAGGATGCTTGCAAATGAATTACAGTTGAACAATTTGATTGAATCTTGTGCTTTGTTGGTTGTGATGCCTTCCACCCAAATTGAGTGTGGAGACATGACAAAAGTAGAGACGTCGTTAGTGGAGCAACTTGTTTATGTTTTTGGCAACTTGAAAGAGTTACCCATTTCGAACAACACAGACGAAGAAACTGAAGTGTGTGTTTTAAAACTTTAATTTATAGATCTACCAAACACCGACGCTCGTCAATTTCTATATTGCCGACCACTGTGTAGTCTCCGTCACCGACCCGTCGCAGAATTCATAAAAAGCCCACACACTCTCTCTCTAACTTTCTATATTCGTTATTTCCCTTATTCTTATTGGCAAACCTGAGTAAAAATTATATTGATTATAAAACAATTATAATAAATAAAACACAAGAACATAAGTGAAGTAGTATATTTTTGTTTTCTATTGCTTTTCTTTTTCTCTTCCCAAATATATATATATTTTTTTTAATTGATGGGAGATTTTAACTTTGGTTTTTATTTTCCTTAGGCATTCATACAACAATTATCTTGTTTCATTTCTTTTCTCTCAAAAACTAATGGCACCATTTATTTTTTGAGAGGTAAAGAAGATATATTTAGGTTAAATCAATTCAGATTGTACCACTTGGTTAGGGTAACTTCGATTTGAATGCTCATAGAACTGTTAAAACTGTGAATCCAACTTAAACCGATTCAGATCATGTAGTTTTGGTTTGGCTTTGTAACTAATCAATTATAGTGGTGAGCTTGCATCCCCTTAGTCTCATTTAGTGATGTGGGTGCAACAGAATGGTTGTTATTTTGTAACTTGAAAGTCACATATTCTAAACACGGAAGACAACCTTACCTCTTTGTACGTGAAGGTAAAATTGCATACATTTGATTCTTCCCAAACTATACTATGATGGCAGCCACAGAATAGGGAAGCCAGTCTTGTATACACACAAGGGTAAAGTTGCATAGATCTTATTCTTCACAGCCATGCAATGCTGGGAGCCTCATATATATATGTGTGTGCGTGCGCGCGCGCAGAGGTAAATTAAGTTGCGAAAGATTGACATATAACAATTGTCATGTACTCTATATCTTATCTTATTATCATAATCATGTCCAAATATTGAGATGTATATCCAATCATTTGAAAGAGGATTGTTTGAAAATTATAATGTAACAAAATTCATTTACAATAGATCATGATCGGTCACACTAACTTCATTTAACCAAATTAAATTATCATCTTTGACCGTCTCGTATAATTTTAGAAAATTATTCTTAAACCAATTATTTGAAGTAATTTGTTTTACCTACAAGTTTTGATTAGAATCTCCAATTTTTTTATATTTGATAAAATTGGTCAATCAAATATCACTATTTATAATTTTATTTTATGATATTTTGCATGATGTAATTTGTGCATTATTTAAAAAAAAAAAAAAAAAAAAATTGTTTTATTTACTAATTTTAGAAATTTAAAGTGAGGCATATGTAATTTACCATCAACAGGGGACGGCAGAGGGATCCTCTTCAATCCAACAAGCCCATACTTTTTTACAAGAAGCAAACGAAAAAGAAAAGTAGTATTCGAGACGTTTCTATTGGTAATGACATGAAAAGGCATAAAACGCATTATATTCCATGCTTGCAACTAAGTTCAAAATGCTCATTTTCATGGTTTTTCTCGTCTTTCGTCTCTCGTCTCTCGTCTCTACCCTTTATCGATATAGTCAATTCCCATTTTCCTTCAACATTTTATATTCAACGCATTTCAGGGTTTTGCACACAACTGACCTTAAAAATTAATGGGTACCTCTTAAAATATCAAAAGAAACATTTAAATCCATTTATATATATATTATATATACACTAAGTTGATTTAGAGTGTAGAGCTTTGAGATAATGGCAGGTGAAGAGCACAAAAAAGTCTACTTCAAATGCTGTGAAACACAGTTTTTCACACACATCATAGCGATTGCTTTCTTGGTGTTACTCGCTGGGTTGATGTCTGGACTCACCTTGGGACTCATGTCCATGAGCCTTGTGGATCTTGAAGTTCTTGCCAAGTCTGGAACTCCGAGGGACCGTCTTCATGCCGGTAAATTCTCTTTTTCTTTCTTTGAATCCTCCCTCCTTTGTGTGTCCTGTGTTTTGGTGATGATATTGTTATGACTAATGTATGTTGCAACATGATCTTGGTCCATTTCAAATATATTATGTATCTTATGTAGTTGGTTGGTAATTATAAAGCAAATCAATACATATAGACCTCTACTGGGTACTAGTTCATTTTAGGATTTGACCCTTGAAATCGGAAATAGACTCTGCATACAGAGGTAAGGTTGCGTACATATGACTTTCTCTAAACTCTGCAATGGCAGGTTGCAACATGTTCTTGGTCCATGTCAAATATATCTTAATTATAAAGCAAACCAATAAATATAGACCTATTTGACCCTTGAAATCGGAAATAGTCTCTGCAGATAGAGGTAAGGTTGCATAGATCTGACTCTCCTAGACTCCGCAATGGCGGGAGCCTCGTGCACTAGCCCCTTTTAGACCCTTGAAATTATGTATCATATTATATATGTCAAATCACTCTAGGAATACTAGGATGGATTGAGGTGGTTGAATTTTTCTTTGTACTCCTCATTGTTCTATATGTGTGTGAACAAAACTCCATTCAAGTCCTTTTTGTTCAATAAGATTGGATTCTAATGTATGTTATGAAAATAGAAATAAAATGCACAGAGAAACATTAGTGTTGCGTTTATGTGAAGGAAACAAAAAAAAAACAAGACATGAAGGCTTGACCCTCCAATTCCATAGGGTTGCATAAACAAATTTTAGTTTGCTGTACCCAAGCGGTTGATTTGAGTTTTTGTAATGTTCAACTTAGTTTTAAGAAACTAAAATCATCGAGTAAGTAGCACTATGTGCAATCATATTACAAGTGTTTTGCTACTTCTTAGAGTAATTGTGTAGTCTGTAATGCAAATTAACTGCTTGTTACTTTGCCGAAACAGCAAAGATTTTACCAGTTGTGAAGAGACAGCATCTGTTACTCTGCACCCTTTTATTGTCTAATGCTGCTGCTATGGAGGTAAATGCTTTTCGTGTTCGAAAACTATTGTGGTGGCATAATGCATGACAGGGTACTTGAAACGAGCAGTTTGTTGTATTCAGGCTCTTCCAGTTTTTCTTGATAATTTGGTTCCAGACTGGGGTGCTATTCTTATCTCAGTCACATTGATTCTTTTGTTTGGTGAGGTTAGTTTTTCTATTCGGTTGATGTTTATATACATCTAACAGACCTTAAAAAAATAGAATTTTATTGCAATTTTTTTCAATTTTGTTGAACAAAATTAATTTGCATTTCGATATGCAGATTGTACCACAATCAGTTTGCACTCGATATGGATTGGTGATCGGTGCTGCCTTGGCTCCAGTTGTCCGTGTTCTTGTTTGGATTTGCTTTCCTGTGGCATATCCGATAAGCAAGGTAGCATTTTGTTAGGCTTAGCACTCCAGCTATAGAGATTTTCATCCGAAAATTGTTATTTCTCGAGCATTATAGTTCAATCTATTATCTTATGCAAACTCCTTTCACAAAAATCACATTCTTGATTATTATTTGTTTGTCTTGCCAGCTACTAGACTATCTGTTGGGAGAAGGACATGAACCTCTTTTTCGTCGAGCTGAGTTGAAAACATTGGTCGATTTTCACAGTACTGAGGTATGTATTTTCTTGCTCAGTGATTATTCAAGTTCTTGTTCTATCTAACCTATTAACGGAGTCATATTCTTCATATTGGCCTGTGATTAGGCCGGAAAAGGTGGAGAACTGTCGCTTAATGAGACGACAATCATTGCAGGAGCACTAGAGCTCACCGAGAAAACAGCAAGGGATTCAATGACTCCCATTTCCGAAACCTTTGCCATTGATATCAATGCCAAACTTGACAAGTACGATGTTTCTTCTCATGGTAAACGGTTTTAAATTTCCTTGTGCTGTTCACTTGGTTCTCATTGTACTGATCAGAGATATTACATATTTATATGACTTATAATACACAGGAATTTGGTAAATTTAATCTTGGAGAAAGGACATAGCAGAGTGCCGGTGTATTATGATCAGCCAAGAAATATTATAGGACTTATTCTGGTAATACAATTCATTTTTGTCCAAGTATTACATAACAAGAGCTTTCCTAAATAAAAGAAGACAGTAAAAAATAAACCCAATCGAAAACCAAAATCGAGACATAGTTTTCAACATTTAGGCATATGTAAATTTCTCTAGCTCACTACATACATATTGGCATCTTGTTCTTTCTCTTAATGTCGTGCTTGTAAATTGTAGGTGAAGAATTTATTCTCCATCAATCCAGCAAATGAGACACCTGTAAAGAATGTTACTATTCGCCGGATTCCAAGGTATATATTATGGTTTGTTTAGTGGAAGTTCACAGCTATTCAAGCTCAAAATGTTACTACCAATAACGGAAATTAACGAACTTGAATTGTGTACTTGCATTGGATTTTATTGAATTTCCAAAAAGTCGATTGAAAGACACTTATTTGACAAGAAAGTCCCTCTTGGTAGACACAAAATGGATAGACGAGGCATCCCTCTTGGTACTGATTAGTGATTTCACTTGATAATTGCATAGTTTTTTCTGCTACAAGGGAGTTTGGACACTGTCCTCAATTAGAATGAGCAAAAAAAGATCGCCATCTTAATTACTTAGGTGTCATTGCTCGGTGCAATGGTAGAAGTTAGGACTGACAAGCTCGAAAATGCAAGAGTAGCCACTTTATGTGATACCAAACCCTAAGTCTACATCAGCCTTTTCCTCCCAGTGTCATGCACAAGCATTATCATGATTCGTATTGTATAACCGGGATTGATTGTTTGGACGAGAACATAAAATAGAGTTAAATTCTAGTCTACATCAGTATTTGCGTCGTTAATATGTTCTGTTTGAGAAGTATAGTGATGAATGCACCTTATAAATTCTATGGACTAATGTTTGCTCATGTGCCCTGTGCTGTGCTAGAGTTTCAGAGACAATGCCATTATATGACATACTTAATGAGTTTCAGAAAGGTCACAGCCATATGGCCGTTGTCATTAGACAGCACGGTGACATGGTGTCACAGCCAACCAGCAAACACCATGCTGATGGTAAGCTCTGACTTCACTCTATAGACAGCGTCGTACATGTGAATATTTTTCGTAATTCTGATTCAATCATTTTCGGATTTGGCTTTCTTTACTGGGATAAAGTATAGATTCAATGAGAGAAGTGAGATTGGACATACACGGTGAAAGGCCTACCGAGAAGAAACATTTGAAGAGCAAGAGAACACTCAAGAAGGTGCAGAATTTGCCAGGAAGCGCCAACATTTCGCGCAGAGAGAACTCAAAGAGCAGGAGGTGGTCGGATCATTTTCATCCGGAGGAGGTTTTGCAGATAAACGACAATCAACTCTCAAATTTAACCGAAGATGGGGAAGCCATTGGGATAATAACCATGGAAGATGTCATTGAGGAGCTGTTAAAAGTATTGTGGTCTCATTTTCAGTGATGCATCTTCTTAATTACTATTATTCAATTAAAAAAAAATTTTAATTTGGTTCTATTGATTTCTTATGTGCAGGAGGAGATTTATGATGAGACGGATCATCGCAATGAGCATTCATAGCCAAGTTTCTCTTGACTGCAAATATAATTGTGCCATAAACCGCAAATGTTTTTGAAGAAGGAAGAAAGTAGCTTGTTTGGAATCCAAGAATTTGGATTTACAAAGTGTAACAAGTAGAATGTTTGAAATATACCAATCACACAGATCATAACCAGAATACTGTGTGGCTTATAGGAAAGGATAAATGGATTATTGTTGGGATACACATATTACATATTGATAAATGATGTGAAGCAAAGAATACACTATTGAAGGCTGAGAATGAAAACGGCGGTTTATGCATATTTATTTATTTATTTTAATTTTTTTAAAGGTAAAATTTTAATTTGTCGGATCCCAATAACAAAAAAAACTTGACTTGAATTACTACTCGATTGAAGTGGTATGAAAAAGTCCGTCCATAGTATTGTTCTTGACAAAAAGTTGTAATATCCCAAATCTTTTGAGTCAGCTTCTAGAGTCACATTTTACATTTTATTAGTGGTATAGAAGATAAGTAACATAACATAAAGTTTAAGTTTAATGTAAGGTTTTAATTTTAAAGGAAAAAAAAAATGCTTCATAGAAGTACTTTTTATTGTAACTAAGTAAGACTTTAACTAACAATTTCTTTTAGATGGTTTCTTTTCAATGTAGGAAACTGAGAAAGAAGAAAAATAAAAAATGGAAAAGAAGATGAAGTCTTTCAACTGCATTCTTTTCAAAATTCTACATAAAGAACAATTTAAATCCATCCCAATTTGGAAGTGGGAGGGCATGAGAGGAAATAAAATTTGAATGAATTTCTTCATCATAAGGAAAGGTTGCAAAATCGAATTGTTTATGAGCAATTTGGATTCGACTCAATTACAGCTTAAGTAACGAATATATAAAACAAAGGAGTAGTACAAGCCCTTCTCCGTCACGGAGAAGCAACGAAATTTGAACACGAATTTTGTTCTTGGCAGAAATCAGCCTTAGAGATTGAATGTGGACTTATCTCATAGTCATTCAATGTAAGACTGTGCTGATAACTTGTAATGAGTAGCTCCTCTTATGAAACCATCCGACTTTAAGTAAATGAACCGAGCCCAGACGAGGCTCTACACGAGAGACTCTTATACATGACTAAACTTTCTAGAAACTATTTAAAGGTATAGGTAATTTACTAATAGTTTGATAAGACTCTTATAGATGACTTAACTTACTAGTAACTATTTAATTTAAGGATAAAGTATATTGACACCCTCTGAGGTTTGGGGCAAAGACACATAGATGAAAGTTAGGCTATTTTCGGATAGTGACACCCCCTTGTAAAATTTATCATCCAAACAGAGCCTTAAAACATGTGAAAAGTCCACTTTACCCTTCACTATTTTATTAATTTTAATTATAAAATATCAAAATACTTAAATAACCCAAATTACCCTTTTCACCCCCCCCCCCCCTCTCTCTCTGTATGTGTGTGTGTGTATATATATATATATACCGTAACCACTGTGAATCCCTACAAGACATGTTGCTTATTTCATTACCGTCAAGATAATCGGGAGAGATTGGTGATTTCAACGGCGGCCAAAGATTCCAATGCTGGCAAAGCTGTGCACGATGGTCAACGAATAGATGGTTTCGGTGTAGTGGGATCGCCGACATGAAGGTTGTTGGGATCACCGGTGGTGAGATGAGACAACATCGGCGATTCCGAAGACCAAGGTCTCAACGATGGGGACGTTTTGCTCCAATCGACATGAATCCATAGCCTCCATTTATATAACAGGTCTCTTCACTGCCAAAGAACGCTATCTCGACCTATCTACACTGTGATATAGAGTGAGAAAGAAACAGAGTTCTAGAGAGAGAAACTATGGCGGCAATTGTTAGTGCGTGGTCCAAACCAGGCGCGTGGGCGCTCGATTATGAAGAACACGAAAACGAGCTTCTTCAGCAAGAGGCTGATAAACGACTTCAAGCACTTCAATGGTGGCGATGCCTCCGATCTCCTCCGTAACACGACGGCGCTTACGGACTTCCTTTCCCTTTCCTCGGCGAAGGCCACTAAGACAAAGAAGAAGAAGGGCCAAACCCTATCTCTGGCCGAATTCTCCACTTTCAGTGCCCATAAGCAGGCTCAGGTCTACCAAACAAAAGGCCTCACCACCGAAGATCTCATGATCTTCCGACCAGTCCTCGTGAGAGAACTGTGGAGGAGATGGAGCGGTCTAGAGGCGGCGGGTTCAAATCGTACAGTTCGAACAGGTATTCGAGCATAGACGAATCGTCAAACCCTAGGTGGAACTCTTCTAGGGGTTCTGACAAGCCTCGTAGACAAGAAGGGTTTGGCAGAGATTCGAGCAGAGAATTGGCGCCTTCTCGCGCTGATGGGACTGATGATTGGGGGGCTTCGAAGAAATCATCGTTTAGTAATGGATTTGAAAGGAAAGAGAGAGGAGAGAGGGGGGAATTTTTTGATTCACAGTCGAGGGAGGACAAATCAGAGAGTTGGGTTTCTAATAAGAGCTTTGTTCCATCCGAAAGACGGAGATATGTTTCCAATCGTGGTGCGCTTGATAGTCTTAGAAAGAGGCGCGAAGGTTATGAGAATGGTGGTGGGCCCGATTTAGAAAATTAGGGGAAGAAGAAGGAAAAGGATGGACGGAAGTTGGAGTTAATGGTGGTGAGCTTAGAGGACAGGGCGGTGAGCTTAGAGGACGACGGAACTGCAATCACCGTCGCCGCCTCTACTGCGACATCGTCATCGTCACCGCCCGTGTGTATATATAATTATCTTCGTATGTGTGTATATATGTATATACATATATGTATGTATATGTATATAAAAAAAGAAAAAATTAAAGGATAAAGAAGTGGCTTTGGTGGAATTGGGGGGTGGTGAGGAGGAAGAGAGAACAAGAGAAGGACAGTCTTAACTAAACTTTCATGTGTGTGTCCTTACCCCAAACCTCGGGGGGTGTTAGTGTTGATAAGACTGTTCTTATAGATAACTTAACTTATTAGGAACTATTTAAAGTTATAGGTAACTTTTCTACTTAACTCTAAGTACCCATGATTTTGCTCTCTAAGTACCCATGATTAGTTACTATTTAAAGTTATAGGTAACTTTTCTACTTAACTGTAAGTACCCATGATTTTGCTCCTGGGCTAGCTCGCCAATGTGGTAGCCTAACAGTGTCTCTCACACTCGCCCACAAGGTCATCACAATCCGCTCCCCTTGGAGGCCCAACGTCCCCGTCGGCACACTTCCAGCTAGATCAGGCTCTGATACCATTTGTAACGATCCACTCCACCACATGGTATAATATTGTCCGCTTTGAGCCTGAGCCCGCACGGTTTTGTTCTTGAGCTTTACCCCAAAAGGTCTCGTACCAATTGAAGTGACACACCTACATATAAGCACTTCACATTTCCTTTTCTCAGGCGATGTGGGACTGTGCACCCGTAGCTCGCCAGTGTGATAGCCTGCTAGTGTCTCACACCCGCCCACGGCACACCCGCACACAGGGTCATCACAATCCACCCCCCTTGGAGGCCCGACGTCCCCGTCGACACACAATCTCGAAATTGAGCTTGAGAGAGTCTCAAGATTTGACCAACAAGCCAAATAAGCCAAACTCGTGTTCAACAATTTATAGTTGAGTGAAGTTCGAAGACTTGTATATGGACTCAACTCAAGCTCGAACTAAACCCTAAACCCTAAGAAATTAAAAATAAAAGAACTCTGTGTATATTTAAATTTGGCAAAAATACAAAAAAAATTCCTAAACTATCACAAATCGGCATTTTATTCATGAACTACAAAAATGAATAAGTCAGTACCACAACTATTCAAATCGTATAAATTAACCCTTAAAAGTCAATTCCGGCAACTTTTCAGCCCACAAGTGTAGCACGTGACCTGTCATTTTCTTTTAATTCTAAAATTGCCCTCAATACTATTATTTATTTATTCATTTTCATTTTTACAAAAACACCGTGAACTGCCGCCGGTATTCTCCCTCTCTCTAAAATGCTTTATCCTCTACTAACTCTCCCTCTCTCTCTCTTTTGCAGTTCTGGTTACCCAAGTTGTCAGGACAAGGTTAAATGACATGGAAAAGCTCGTGAACGCCGGAGAAGAAGCCCGTCCTGCAGATTCAGTGTTGATTAACATTTTGCCCAATTCCGACGAAGTTGTTTTAGACAAGGAAGCATAGGTTTGAATCCCATAACTTATGTAAGCTTAAATTTGCCTACTAAACAGGAATTTCTTAATTTTGCAGTGTCTTGTTTCATTTTTAATTTAATTTTCGAAATTTGAATTAGTTTTTCAATCAGATGAATGGGTTTGAACTGTTCTGAAATTTGGTTTGTTGGTTTTTGTTGGTGGGGAGAGAAATTAATTATGCATCAACTTGTGTAGTCCAACTGTTTGATGAATGGTCTAGCTGATATAGTTGTTACCCTGTTGAATATATTTACAAACAAATGTGGTTGGTCATGGGATTTTCTTTTGTGTTGTAAAATTTTAACAGAAAATCATTGTGTTTTTTTTTTTCGGAAGATGAAAATCATTGTTTTTAACAATTAAAAATGACTAGTCATGGTTGTGGTTGATGGGTATTGGTTTTTACCTCATTACGGGGCATTGCTCTGAATCATTACTCTTCAAAGATGAAAATGAATTCCGGCAACGCTTCGGCTGACTTCATTGTAAAAATGAAAATGAATAAATAAATAATAGTATTCATGAGTATTCCAGGGCAATTTTGGAATTCGAAGAAGGGGACACAGGTCACGTGTTGCACTTGTGGGCCGGAAAGTTGCCGGAATTGACTTTCAGGGGTTAATTTGCACGATATGGATAGTTGTGGTACTGTCTTGTTCACTTTTGTAGTCCAAAGGGGTAAAATGCTGATTTGTGATAGTTTAAGGTGGTTTTTTTGCATTTTTGCCTTTAAATTTACATGGGCCATTTATGCGGCAATACCACCCCTCTATATATATATATATATATATATATATATCTATATATTTACCAGCATCACTCTATATATATTACTGAAAAACACTGATCGTTTTAGAGTTTGTGGTAACAGATTTGATGAAGTTGGCATGTTACAAGGACACAATAACTGCCATAACTGAAAATGCCACCAATCATCTCATCAGACTCAACTGCCTCCTCGCAGACCTCACTCACTCACACCATTACACAGACTCCCTCCAACTCTTCCACCAAATTCATTCCTCCCGCTATCTCAGGCCAGATCACTACACCCTCTCCACCGCCCTCACCGCCTCCGCCAACCTCCGCAACGCCACCACCGGAAATCAGCTCCATGCCCACTCCATCCTTACCGGACTCAAAGCCTACCCTCACGTCGCAAACACTCTTCTCTCCCTCTATGCAAAATCAGAGGACTTGGTTTCAGTGAAACGGGTTTTCAGTGAGATTGAAAACCCAGATGTGTATTCATGGACAACATTGTTGTCTGCGTGTATGAAACTTGGGCAAGTTAGATATGCTTGCCATGTATTCGATGAAATGCCTCAAAGAAGTGTTGCGGTTTGGAATGCGATAATTACAGGTTGTGAAGAAAATGGGTATGAAGATCTTGCTTTTGATTTGTTTCGGAGAATGCACACATTGGGTGTAAGGCATGATAACTACACATTTGCTAGTGTTCTTAGCCTGTGCTCTTCGGAGTTGCTTGATTTTGGGAAACAGGTGCAGTCGTTGGCAATCAAAACAGGCTTTTCGGTTAAATGTTCTGTGGTTAATGCGCTGCTGACAATGTATTTTTACTGTGGAAGTGTCACAGATGCATATCAAGTATTTGAAGAAGCAGAGGGTAAAGCATGTGATCAAATTACATATAATGTGATGATAGCTGGTTTAGTGAACACTGGAAGAGGTGAGGAGGCCTTCCTTATGTTCAGAGAGATGCAAGAAGTTTGTCTGAGACCTACCGAACTGACTTTTGTGAGCGTTTTGAGTTCATGTTCATGTGAAAGAGTTGGTTATAATGTGCATGCCCAAACAATCCAGATGGGTTTCGAATCTTTTACGTCTGTCAGCAATGCTGCAATAACCATGTACTCCAATTTTGGCGATTTACGTGCAGCGCACATGGTTTTCCAGAGATTGGAAGAGAAGGATCTTGTCTCATGGAACACCATCATTACAAGCTATGCTCAAGGAAGTTTAGGTGGAGAAGCAATTTTAGCTTATCTGCAAATGCGAAGGGAAGGGATTGCACCAGATGAGTTTACTATCGGGAGCCTATTAGGAAGCTCAGATTCATTGGTAGTTGTTGAGATGATTCAAGCCGTTGTGTTAAAAAGTGTGCTCATCTTGAAAATCCAAGTCTCAAATGCATTGGTTTCCGCATTCTCTAAGCATGGAAAAGTAGAAGAGGCCTATCAAATATTTTGTGAGATGTCAGTCAAAAATTTGATTTCTTGGAATGCAATTATTTCTGGTTTCCAGTTAAATGGATTTCCACAGCAGAGCTTAGAGCAATTCTCTAAACTACTGGAGTCAGGACTGAAGCCAAATGTGTATACGCTTACCATTGTTTTGAGTATATGTGCCAGCATTTCCACCTTGAGACACGGGAAACAGATCCATGGCTACGTTATCAAATTTGGTTTTTCTCCAGAGACTTCTTTAGGTAATGCCCTTATTACATTGTATGCAAAATGTGGGGATTTAGATTGGTCGTTGAGAGTGTTCAGTGCAATAATTGACAAAGACACGGTCTCTTGGAATTCCCTGATTTCTGCTTACGCGCAGCATGGGAAAGGAATGGAAGCAGTCAATTGTTTTGAGGGAATGCAAGAATTGGGTGGAGTCAAACCAGATCAGGCCACCTTCACTGCAGTTCTTTCAGCTTGCAGCCATGCAGGTTTAGTTGACCATGGCACTCGGATTTTCAACTCTATGGTAAATAAATATGGTTTTGAGCCTGGAGTAGATCAATTTTCTTGCATTATTGACCTTCTAGGTCGAGCTGGTTATCTTGATGAGGCAAAAGGCCTTCTAAACAATAAACATATTGGAGTTGACTCCAGCATCTGGTGGACACTTTTCGGTTCTTGTGCAAATCATGGTGATGTAAGGCTAGGAAGAATTGTTGCTGGGTTTCTTCTTGAAATTGAAGAAAAGAATCCAGCAGTTTATGTGCTTTTGTCAAAGATCTATGCAGATGCAGGGCAATGGGAAGAGGCAGCTAACATGAGGGAATTGATGAAGAGATATGGGGTAATGAAACAACCTGGCTGCAGTTGGATGAGGTCATAACATCGTATAAGCATAAAGGCCCGATTTATCTGGATATGGAAGTAAAGGGAGCACCTGAGTATGCAACTGACAGATGACTTGACCTCCTAATGCATGGGATGCATATTATAAGCTGCCATTGGTATCTATATGTCTGTTGGGATCAAGACCTGTCAGTCTGTTGTTGGAATCAGGACGCCAATGCAATTCGTGTCCGAAGATTACCTGCCTTTGTCGGCTATGAAAATTTAACGCTTGATTAAATCAACTAAGCTACTACCGCAGGAGGATATGTGCCTTTAGAGATCAAGACTCTTTAGTTTGAAGAGTTCAGAAAGAAAATTTTAAGTGCAATATAGTGGAACTGCTGAATTGCCATACTGGATCAAACCTCCATGAAGTGTACCATGGTGTAATATGGTAAGTCTTTTTCGTCATTGTGCTCAATTCCTTAAGCTATACGTTGACTGTGTTCTGTCAAATGAAAATGAAGTGTAATATAACTAATCATCCATGTTAACGCTTATAGGAAAAGTTACTGAGGGCTTAAATCCCATTTCCTCTTGCTAACATCACACAGAAGTTCGGTTTATTTATTATTTATATTTGTTCGGAAAAATATCATTCTTGTTGAAAATCTACTTTGAGATTCTTCTACGTTTAGCGCAAGCCTCACATTTGCTGAAGACAGTTTGCCACTTGATTTTGTTAAATTGATGCATGATCAAGGGATTCGTGCATTATCATTATCATCATCAATTCTATGTTACAATCATCATCATCAGCATCTCATCTCTACTTCACCTTTGGCATTGTCACCATCTTTACATTTGCTAATAATTCAAACCTGTATTAGCCTATCATTACCAATAGCACATAATTATCACCATTGTCATCTTTTATCAATAGAATCTAGAACACAGTGCAAAAAAGCTGAGAAATGCTGGTTGTTGAGATGTACAAGTCGTTGAAAAAAAGAATTTCTAATTGCACTGGAACACATCTGAAGCTGCCTTCAGGCTCTGAATAACTGATTTAAGAAAAAATTGTTCAAAAATTTTCCTTGATCTTCTAACTTAACCTGTGGGTTGCATTTTAAAATTAGCACTCACGGATTCTAATCCTTGTCTAATAGAAGGCCCTAAGGTTGGTATTGATGCTTTCGTTGTGTATTCATTCAACCTCGCTGCTTTCAATCTTTTTTACAAGCTTTAAAACTTTGCTGCTTTCAAGCTTTGATACTTCCCATTACTTAGTAGCAGTTAAATTCTTATACTTTCAGACTATTCTGGGAACCCTTTCATTGCCTAACCTTCTCCCTCCCAATGCTAATTTCTACTGTCAAATTTGGCTTCCCCTTCCTCTTTAAACCTGAGTTGTGGTAATATTGGCGACCTATGAAACCACACTACAACAAAATATACCTATAATGACAAAAGTTTAGCAGCATTTTTTAATAAATGCTGCTATTTAGTACTAACAATTTCTAATAAGTGAGCACGTGATTGCCGTGCACATTTTTTCTTTATTGTTTATTTTTTCATTTCGCTCCTCACTATTTTTTTTTCAGCAAGTGAAACGCTCTGTCTCTTCTCTCACCTTTTCATTTCACTTCCTTGGTACCAAAATCAAACTGAAACCCTAGGAATGAGATTCTTTCACGAGCAGAGTTTCTTCTCTCCGTTGTGAAGATTTTCAATTAAATCTTCATTTACATTTAGGAGAGAAATCAAAACTGAGCCCTAGGAGTGACATTCTCTCACACGATCCGAGCAGGAAAAACTCTCTCCTCAACAGCTTCATTTACATTTTACAGAGAAATCGAAACCAAACCAAGCTGAGTTCGTTAATCGGTCTGTTCTATTTGATTTTGGAGCTAAATCGATGTCTGATTCGTCCAAAATTGCCAACGATCAGCATTATATTCATGTTCGTCCACTCATCGGTAAATTCTATCAGATTCGCTTCATTTTTGTCAGAATTCATCTTTAATTGGAGATTGATGTTATTATTGTATGAAACCCTAGCTTTCTAAGAGTTTGAATTTAGAACTTGTTTATATTTGCAAAATTATGATGAATTCGATCTTGTTTATTGCTGAGACTTTTTGTACCTGTGTTAAATTTCAGTTGTCTTTTTTCTTACTAGTTTTTTCTCTAGCATTATTTATTTTCATTAAATCATTGAATGAACCTCGATCTGAAAAATGTGTATTTTTCTGTACTGTGCTGGGATTAATTTCACATCGGCTTGAAATATATATGTAATTTCTTGTCTTTCAGTCTTCTATTCCACATTATCAGAGTTGTATTCATATTTTTTTTCCCAAATACTAATAATCTTCATCCATGTTTTTGGAAGCTCTGTCTTATTTGTTGCATAATTAATTGTTATGTGCCTTCTTTCTCTAAGTTTTCATATAATAACTCAGGGTAGGGCTTCTGTTGTTTCTTTTGTGCTCTCATTTATTGTTTTCTTCCAAATTTTTTACTTTGTTTTTCTATGTTTATAAGATTTTGGGGGAAATCATTTTTAACATGTAACACTTGACCTAATTAAACAATGGCAAACACAAATTACCAATAAAAATGTTTGCCCATGTGAATAACTAGTTAATTGATTGCATTGTTTAGTCTGGGTGAGCAGCATTGCTCAAATTTGGCTCATTTGAAAGAAATTAACCCTCAGTGTAAGATTATTTACATTGTTGATACAGTGGCACCTAAAAGTCCCCATCTTTTCATGCAAGTTTCAAATTCCATTGATTTGGTATTCAGATGTTCTCTTTTCATTTATTTTTCCAATGCAAAATAGTTCTTGAAAAAGTTTCCTAGAAACCAAACAGGCACGTAATTTACACCCCATATGTATGAATGAAAGTTGTTATTATATGGCTTGGGGACAATTTATCATGTGTTGGTGGTAGGGATGGGAAAGATTCTCTCTTACGTCTGCAAAATTTTATTCTTATGTCCTGAAAATTATTTCGAAATGTACTTTTGGTGTTGCATTGGTGTTAATAAAGGTTGAGAAAAGGGAAAAAAAAGAATGGGTGTTTATGGTTATTTGGATTTGACAGACTACCTCAAGACGCCTTTCGGACAGGAAAATTGCAAGGTTTGATAAGAATATCACCAAGAGAGGATCAGTTCCTGAAACCACCAAGAAAGGAATCGACTATCCAGTTGGGTCCATTGTTCTTGGGATCTTTGTTTTCGTGGTCATCGGATCATATATGCTCTTTAGACCCTGTTGACATCCTTTATTTATTCTATGCAGCTATGCTTCCTCCTTTGCCTGTTTCTTACTTTTACCATTATTCTTTTATGTTTTATGTCCTGTATTAGTTAGAAATTCACATCACTGGAGGGAATCATGAACAATATTTGCTATAAAAGGGATTTAAAGTTTCTTGAATACTGGCTTAGGGTTGAGAAATCTATGAAAAAAGGATTTTTTTTTTTTGTTAATTCTTCTACTTTGTGCTTTTGCATCACATTGAGATTGGGAAAGTAAAAACAGAGAAAGTGATGGTCAAAATAGAGGAGATGAACTCGGTGTAGGTCGTGAGAATGAGTAGCCTAGAGAATTTGGGAAAGAAAAGAAGTGTTGGGAACCGTCAACCGAAACATTTTCTAAACAGTTTTGAGTAGGGACAAGTTCACAATTAGAAAATAATATACATAGAACTTTTGAATTAAAAATATTTCAGTGGGACACCTGCCCCCACGGGCATATATGTGGTTCCGCCATTGTTGTGATGCGAAGATTGTGGTAGAGTTGTGACTTGGAGTCACATGCCATGGTTTTTTATGTCCATTTATAGTCGTTTTCTACTTATCAAAAAAAAAAAAAAAAAAAAAAATATTTATAGTCGTTTTCTATATTTTTCCAGTTGAGGAGTGGCATGTGAACAATATTGTTCTTGTACTACTGCTTACCAATTGTCTTTAACGAGTTTTTGAAATAACCTCCATATTTTATACCATTGTTGTTAAAAAAAAAAAAAAAAAAAATATGGGGCTGCTAATATTGCTAAAGACTGCTTTTATGCTTCTAATGTACTCCAAGTGTTTAATTTTCAAACGAACAATTATGCCCTTAACCGAAAAAGAAAATAGACTCATGAATTCACCATGTTGTTTTTGTTTCCATATATTTGCCACACTTTGTTACTAACTTGAATATTTGTAGATGAAAATATCAATCTTCTGAATTTCCACGGTCTACCGGTCCCACTTATATGGTCTACATTATTTTGGAAGTGGTGGTCAAATTTTATGTATTTTGTGCTAGTTTTATTTTGTATGGTCTAAATTGTTTTATCATGAAAATTATTAATTTAAAGCTTCTAACTTTTTGCTTTTCCTTTGTTGGTTGGCAGTTCTGTTTCAGACTATCAGGACAGCCACTGGTGGTGGGCCGTTGGCCTGAGGAAATGGGGTAGGAAGTTTTGTCGATAATGTGTCATCAACTATCTTTAGCTGGTTGTTGATGCTGAAGCTGGGTTGGGGACTGGTAGGTGCAGCGGTTGTGCTGAACGCGTCGTGGTGGTTCATTGTGGTGGCTCAGCTTGTCTAGTTTCAGGGTCCTTGATATATGAGGATTTGACATATTTTTAGTGAATATATTGCAACATTTAGCTGATTTTTTGTTTGGCAGTGGTATTGGCTAATGGCTTCAAAATGTCAATTGATTGTTGAAGGAGCATACCCTACTCGGGTATGGAGATGGAAAGGCAATCTAATTCAGGTGAGTGGTTGAGAGCTGATGTGCGTTAGTCACTTAGTCAAAGCTTAAGTTATGTTTTTCCTATTGTAAATTCTGCTTGCAAATTAACTTTATTTTTCCAGTATACAGTTGCTGGTCATGAAGGTCCGGCTATACTTCTTGTGCACGGTTTTGGTGCTTTCCTGGATCATTATCGTCACAATATAGATGGTATAGCTGAAGGTGGAAACTGAGTTTGGGCCATCACACTTCTAGGATTTGGCAAATCAGAAAAGCCAAATGTTGTGTACAGTGTACACTGAGCTCATGTGGGCTGAGATTTCATCATTGAAGTTGTGAGAGAACCAGTTCATCTTGTTGGAAACTCACTTGGTGGTATGTTCAACTTCCGAGTTGTATCCTTCATAAATCTTATCATAAACTCAAACCCCGCCCCAACCCCTCATATACACACACCTCTTTCAATGCGCAACTTTGCAAAGATTTCTCTAATTAACTCATTATTATTTATTTCAGTTATCTAATTGGTTATCATTTATTCCCATGATGTTTTGTTGCTATTGTTGCCGGTATTTGGCCTGCTTTAGCCAAGTCTGTTGTCCTAATTAGCAGTGCTGCGGTCTCTTAAGTCAGAACTTAAATATTATGCAAATGCCCTTAACACCTACGGTATCCGTGTAAAATATGCTTCCTGTGTCATTAAAAGTTGCTATTTGTTATATCCAGCTGTTGCCAGTATACATGGCTTTTGAGTAGGGTTTTTAACTGGGTCTTTTGGCACTCTTTTTTAATATACATTTTATGGTTGCATTATTACTGTCTTATGGGAAAGTTGAAATACTGGAAGGAATCCTTCATTTTTCAAGCATTTAGTTTTCTTTATCATTTCCTCTGGTAACCAGTCTGAGCCCTGTTAGGTAATTAAATAGCTAGTGACGAAATATGATATGTTACTCAGAATTCAAGTTGACAGCTTAATCCTTTTTGTTGTTTAGGTTTTTCTGACATTGTGAGTATTCTTTTTTGAATGTTCTAACATAAAGAATAACTTTATGTGTAACATCTGCATTCTCATGTTACCATTTTATTTTATTTTATTAATGTTTTTTTCCCGTAGTGGTGGTTGGATACATTTATGAGATGGCACTGAATAAAGAAAATGAATTTTAAATTCAATTGGATGAAGCATGCATTAATTGATGAATGATCATATGAGATGGATGAGGTGTGGATCGCTTGCATTTTTAGAGAGCTTCTGTTAGAAATTAGAATGAGAGTTCATAGTTGCTTCTCCATTGTCATCCAAGCTTGGGAGTAATAGGAGATTTTCCATGCATTCCCAGGATATGATACCCTATAGAACTGAAAGCTGCCCATGTGACTTAGCACTTGGAGTGTTTCATATCTAACAATTTGTTTTGCTTCCCAAGTGGCTCTTTCTCTGAAGATTTTCGTTATGTTAAGAGTTTCTTATTGTCTGAGCCTCTGATTTCATCAGCTAAAAGTCGATGTTTCATAATTATTTCAGGAAAGGAAAAGTTCAGGGGCTGCATGGTTGGGTGGTAGACTCCTTTTGTTCTACTTGAGGTGACTGCTACCCCATTATTTCAGGAAAGGGCAAAGCTCGGATGATGCAGTTGTTGGCTGTGGCATATTTATCTCTTGCAGCCAAAATGGAGGAGACTGATGTCCCTTTGTGTTTGGATTTACAGGTTAATAGATGTGTGAATTAGTATTTATGTGCATTGTCTGTCATTTGAATGATTTTTTCTAGTTGCTCTGATGATCATAAGTGATAATAACAGGTGGGTGAATCGAAATTTCTATTTGAAGCTAGAACCATTCAGAGAATGGAGCTTCTGGTGTTGAGCACACTGAAGTGGAGAATGCAAGCAGTCACTCCATTCTCCTTCATAGACTATTTCTTTAGAAAGATGAATGGTGATCAAAACCCTCCAAAATCTTCAATCTATAAGTCCATCGAACTCATATTAAGCACAATAAAAGGTCAATCTCTCTATCTATCTCTGTGTGTGTGTGTGTGTATGTGTTTGTATGTATATAATGTACATTTGTTTGCACTTAAATGTGTACCTTCTACCATGTTAAGTACTTGGACAACGCTATTCAGACCTAGTAGTCTAACCAAGAAACCTAAAGTTTTGATCTTGTCCGATGCATCCAAGCTTTTTCGGTTAGACTATTAGGTCTAACAATAAGTACTTTGGTACTCTGTTGTAGTGGTAAGAATGATGAAAGTGAAATTTGAAAGAGGGACTAATACTATGGTGGGTGGAAATTAAATGCAGGGATTGACTGCAGCAGGAGTGGCAATGTCTGTTGCAGGAGAAAATCAAACAGTGGAAACTGATAAAGCAATCTCTGTTCTCATCCAACATGTAGAAAAGGTGAAGTTTAGTGGTCCAAAAATGATGATTTTCACTTTCTCTCATCATTTAGGGTTTGATTAGCTAAAAAAAAATCTTATCAGTTGATTAAAATGGTTTTTTTTTTTTTTGGTGCAGGAGAATGCTGAAGTGTGTGGAACTGATCCATGAAGGACCTGTGTCATGATGTTTTTGGGATATCAATGGAAAAGAAAGATCCAAGAGATGTGAAAGGGAACCGAGGTTTGACTTGCTTTGGTTTTCTTTAAGCTTCCTTCATATGCTTCCAGTGCTCATTCATGTGATTTAGTAATGATTATTACCTCTTCATAGTGTTTTTGGAAACTTAGGGTTTTCATCAAAGCCTTCTGAAACTTGGCACTTGTACCATTTTGAGAAGATTGTGAAAGAAAATCAAAGTTAGTCTTTCTTCTCATTTTAGTGAGTTTATGTTAACTTTGGCTTGTTTATTGGACTTAAAGCATTACATTATAATTACCATTAATATCATTTCATTTATACTAGTAAACTTGTCATTTGTGATGACATGTCATTTCGAGTTACCTTCTTGTTAATGGGTAAGCTTGTTTTATGTGAATGTGGACATGATATGCTTGAATAATTCACAGTTCATAATTTTAGAACTTGTGCAAGTGTCAAAAATCATCTAGTGCTCTCATTTCAGTAGGGATGGCAACGGGGCGGGTTTGGAGCGGGTTTCCCTAAATCCTGCCCCGCCCCTTTTAATTTTTGTCAAGTCCATGCCCGCCCTGAGACCCGCGACGGGTTGAATTTTCATATCCAATCCCGCCCCGTTAGGAAATACTGTGCCCCCGTGCCCGCCCCACTAACAAATTTTTTTCTCCCACTTTTTGGAACTTAAACTCCTGCTATTTAAATGTGCAAAGCCTAGGAATGACACAACATAAATAAAATTATGTATTCTAACAAAAATAAAAAAAATAACATGCACATAACATAATTCAAAGAACATAATAAACAAAAATAAAAATTTAATACAACCAAATCACAAGAAGTTCTAAGCTCCAACTTCCACCATAACCAAAACAAAAGCAAATTTAATACCAAGTTTACATCCCAAATTAGGATTGTAAGAGATGGGTTGGGTAAGCCGCTAAAATAACTTATTAATATATATATATATATATATATATTAAATATAGTTATATGCGGGGCGGGGCGGGGCGGGGCGGGGCCCCTAGGATATGTATATTGAACCCTTACCCGCCCTGTGACCCTCGACGGGTATAAAATTTGTATCCATGTCCGCCCCAACGGTATAATAAGTGTTCCCATATCCGTTATTAACGGGGCGGGGCCCCGGCGGGGCGGTAAAAATTGACATCCCTACATTTCAGTGGTATAGGATGCAAAATTGGAATTTCTAAGGGCTGCTTTGGTCATATAATTGGTGAGCCCTTTTAATTTGGGGTCACTGTCATACAATTGGTACATTTTTGTCTACCCAGTTGGCTCCACTCATAATTTTATAATTTTCAGATAGAAGAGTGTCAGTAATTTTCCTCTTAGGGACCCTTCACTGCCATTTTCATATGGGAATCTGTCCTTTGTTGGGTTTTCTGGGTCTCTGTGTTTCCTCCGGTATCTTCGGATTTATGAAGTTAAAAAAATGAATTTGTTGTGCATATTCAGTGAAAGCATGGGCTGCAAATGGAGCACACCTCTGTTTTCTTTGATTAGTTTAACATTAGCATTAATTAACTTCTGTTTAACTAATATTTTGAGCCTATGACCTTCTTCGCTGAACTATTTTTAAATTACCTATTACAGATAAGGAGAGAAGTGTTAGCGAACATATTGTGCGTATACAATGAAAACATGGGCTGCAAATTTCTTTGATTAATTCAATAGTTGTATTAATTAACAAATTATTTCATGTACCAAAATAAATATTTATTTACACATTTTTATCATATAATGTTTCGTATATGTGTATTTTATATTTTGTAGGTACCAACTCCAAAATGAGAAGAAAAGAAATAAAAAATAGCATTCTCTCCCAAGTCACATGCCACGTCAGCAATTCTGCCCTGTCATCATCTAGTCACCATCGCCACATCATCACTGAAGACTTTCATGCCATGTCATCTCAACATTTGAAATATATATATATATATATTTTTTTGTATATATATGTCACATGGGATGATGGAAGAAAAGAATAAAGAAAGAAGAATGTGTAAGAGAATATGGAATATGTGTAAGAGAATATGTAAGAAACCATGTGGGAGAGGGATGGGGGCAGTTGTAAAGTAATGAGAATGTTGGAACATGAATTTGGCTATAAATAGGCTAGTCTTGAGAGGTAGAGGGGAGTTTGATAGATGGTCTAGAGATGGTTGTAAATTTCATTGAGAGAGTATTTCATTATGTAATTTTAGCTTTCTCTAATTTAATGCAAGAGTTTTTTTTTTCTGGATGGTAAAAAAAACATACATACATTTTTTTTTGTTCACGGCGGGATTGGAATCTCTCACCTCTTCTTATACCATTAGGCCAAAGGGTCCTTTCCTCACCTTTTCTTATACCACTGGGCCAAAGGTCCTTTATATAGTTTGTGAAAACTCATCTTGAATGCGTCGTTTGGGTGAATTGGAGATGACACACTTACATATAAGCATTTCACCTTTCCCCTATCCAGACGATGTGGGACTTGTGCACCCGTAGCCCGTCAGTGTGGGACTTGTGCACCCGTAGCCCGTTAGTGTGGTAGCCTGACAGTGTCTCTTGCACCCGCTCAGAATCCACGCCCTTGGAGGCCCGACGTCCTCGTCGTTCGATCCTACTTATAAACATTTTTAGTTAAATAGTCGTAGATATTTAATATTTGCGTGTATTTAATCAAATTTGAGTTTCTAGTTTTGGACGAATCCTTCTTCTATCCTTTATCTATTTTCTATTTTATTTTTATTTTCTGTTTTTGATCCTACACTGTAAAAAAAAAAAAAAAGCACAAAAAAACAAAAGACAGTAAGCCTTTTCTCACTGTTTTCCTGACTTTTGTTCTATTTTCCAAATAAAAAAAATAATCATAAAAAAATTCGCTATTTTTATCTCTCAATTCTTTTTACTGTTTTAACTTGTTACAAATTCAAAAACAGTGTGTACCAGTTTTAATACATTTCATTTCTAAAAAAAAACCAAACAGAGAGAAACCCAGAAACCCATTTACAAAACAAGCAGTTCACTTCTCCTTGCCCTCCCCATGCACAGCCGACCTCATCGCCGTCCGTTCCAGCCGCAGTCCAGTCCATCGCCGCACTCGCCACGGCACCAACTCCCAATCTCGCCGCGCCACAAGTTCCAGCCGCTAGTTATCCTTCTCGCCGGCTGTTCTCAACGGCCGAGCGCATCCTCTTCACATCCGACCAAGTCCGCCATCAGGCCCATGGTCGCCGTCGCTCTCATCTGAGCTGCCGCAAACCGCCCTCATCTGAACCGACCGTCACCGCCGCTGTGAGATCAGCCGCGCCCGTCACCGCCGCACCAGCCGCCACTGTTCCCGTCCTCATCGCCGGTCACCGTTCTGAATCCTCCCTCACAGCCAGCCCATCACCTTCTAAACCGTGCTCTACACCGCGGAGCTCTCTCTCCACCGCCGGCCATCTTCATCCCCTCCGGTCTGCCACCACCTTGCCCGCCGTCAATCTTTGCTCACCGTTCAGTCACGCCGGAAATAGATCATCATCGCGGCTTCCTCTTGTTGCATAGTTGCCGGAATATTCCTTCCTTGTTGCTGACGTGGAGCTTTTCTGGTAACTTTGTGAGTCTGTTACAGTGATCTTCGTGGGTCTATTTGTTGTTCAACGTATATAAAAGAGAACAAGATCCAATTTGTTTGGCTACGGACATAGCCCTAGCCCAGTAAGAAACTGGAACAGCATTAAAACCAGTTCTACAGTTTCAACAGGAAACAAGTTCGGTTGTAAACCAGCAAAGAATGGGACTCATTTTTGGAGCATTGAAAGCTTGGATATTCTAATTGGAGCGCACATGGAAACGAGCCGATTTTGTCTTCCAAGTAGGTAACTTAAGTTTTTATACCCCAAATATTTTGTTAGTGGTTTCATTATTATTTTTTAAATTAGAAAAACTTATTTATTTTAGGTAATTAATTTTAGGATATAATAACTTAGAATGACCTTAGGTTCACAATTTTTTCTATTTTATTTTATTTTTGTATTTTTTTATCCTAAAAAAAAAACAAAATCACATATTCACTTTCTTTTTATTTATTTATTTTTATTATTGTCTTATTTGTGTATATTTTAATTAGCATTTGTATAAGATACTTAAGGGCAAAACCCAAACAAGATACGGTCGGGATTTCATCACCCGTTTTTCTGTGGCCCACAAATCATTAAATCTTTATATTTGTCAAACCCGAGCCAAATTCAATTTAATTTAAAATCAAGTAGACGTTGGCCATAGGGTTTTTCACATAGCTCATAGGATCCTCTTAGATAGAATTAATTTTTGGTCACTCCAGTGAGTACCTTCCAACTTGACAATGTCTAAGGAAAATTTTGCCTCAGGGTGTGGGCGTACCGTCATTAAGCAAACCTCGTCTTCCCCATACTTTCAGGAAACTTCCCTGGTTGTCTTGTTGGCAGGCCTTAATTGGTAAGTTTCTAATTATTCTAGAAGATACTAGTGCCACGTTTGGTGTGTATGAATAGAATGGAATGGAATGCCCATTCCAACTATCCATTTGTTTGGTATGGAGGAATGGAATGGAATGACCATTCCAATGGAATGAAAATCCATTCCATTACTAAACATATGGAATGGCCATTATTAAATATTTTTCGAATATTCTCAATAAGCTCTTCATCATATTCCAATAAGGCAAAAATATTTTGCATAGATCAAAAATTTTTCACATTCCATTTTTCTCGAGCTTCTTTATTAGACGTGGTAAATGTCTTTCACATTCCCTCTCTTCTGAATATACCCAGAGTTGCCATTAACAAAAAGTTACAGGACCTTCAACCATATTTTTTATATAAATAAAAAATATATATTTTCAATGATATATTGAGATTGATATATCATTGAATATATATATATATATATATATATATATATATATATTAGACTTTACATCAGCTTCTTGGGTTAAGTATTCAACCCGTTTTTGGATAAAATTGTATTGATAAAATATTAATTAAATTGATTTTATAAAAAAATAATGAAAAGGGTATTTTTGAAAAAAATCATTACATTCCATATTTAATGATAGTCAACCAAACATTAGAATGGTAATACTCATTCCATTCTATAACGATTCACCGTGTCACACCAAACATTAGAATGGTAATACTCATTCCATTCTATTCTCATTCTCATTCCATTCCAAGTTGCATTGCATTCCATTCCTTCACACCAAACGTAGTCTAGGAACTTTAATTACTTTAGAAAAAATATTCACCATGCTTGAATTTAAGCTCAAAATTAAAAAGCCAAAAATATTTGTGTGGTTTGTGTGTGCACTTCAGTGTCTAGCCTATTTTTAGGATCTAATTCTCAAAGGCATTCCCTCAAAAAAAAAAAAAAAAAAAAATAGTGCGATCTTTGGTATCCGTTTTGTATGCCCAACTGGTTATGAGTTAACAAATGATTAATCCGTTATTCCAGTGATCCTTCAATCTTTTGCTTTGGAGAAAACATCCTTACTTTCTTCCAGCTCCAAATATTCTCCAATGGACCCACCACTTACACCACCAGTTCCACCACTTGTTCCACCAGTTCCAGAACCAGATGCATAACCGGTTGTCCCACTTGCTCCTAGGATTTGAATGACTATTTTGTCCCTATCACAGCCAATCCACCCAATTATATTGTTCTTCCTCCAGTCGAGGCACACTTTGAGATTAGAGCCTATATCATCAATATGTTGCCTAAATTCCATGGATTTGAAAGTGAACAACTTTATGTCCATTTAGGGAAGTTCCTAACCATTTGTAGTACTTTAAAAAATCAGCATTTAGATGATGAATGTGTCAAATTGAGTCTGTTTCCCCTATCCTTGGATAATAAAGCTTTCTCATGGTTCAACTCTCTTCCTCCAGACTTTATTAGAACAAGGGATGAACTTGCTAAAAAATTCATGAACAAGTTTTATCCAATGCAAAAAACGAAGTTAATGAAAGATGCCATAAACACTTTCAAAGGGATAAATGAAGAACAATTCCATCAAATTTGGGAGCGTTTTTATGATTTGCTTCTCAAATGCCCATATCATGACTTTGAGAAAGCATAAATGGGTCATTCTTTCTATAAAGGGCTTTCTCCTACTAACTGAACCATGATTGAATCCATGCACCAAGGAAAATTGAAATCCCAAACTCCCGAAGAAGTTTATACTTTCTTAGAAGAACTTGCTGAATATGCCCAAAATTGGAATTAGAACCCTTGTGATGATGAATTCTCTAGGAGTAATCCCTCCAAAAGAACATCTAATCCATTTGAGATCAAACATGAACTTGAATTCAAATCAGTAATGCAAAGTATAGCAGAAGGAGTCAAAGATTTCAGTAAAAAATTTGATGCCTTTGCTCTCATGCCCACACCTGCTAAATGCAATGTCTGTTCAAGTTCATCTCATCCCACTGAGGCTTGTCCAATCTACTGTATATCTAAACCTTCCGATACACAAGTTTGTGCCTATAATACTTATAGGAAACCGACGGCTAGTTCCTTTAGTCAGATGTATCATCCCGATACTAAAAACCATCCGAATTTTCCGTGGTGCCAAAATTTGCCTCCACAAAACTTAGGTGGTCCTCCTGGTTTCCAAGGTACTCCCAATAGGCCAGCACAACCTCAAGGTCCTTTTGTCCCTCTAGGATATTTTCCTAGGAACAATCAATTAAATCAAAATAGAGAACTTGCAATTGAACCAATGAGTAGTTATGTTGCTCTCGTCTCACAGAACCATCGTTCTACCAATTATGAGGACACTCTGAAAATGCTTGCCCTTAATCTTGATTAATCTAACAAGCAATCAGAGCAGAGAATTCATAAGTTAGAGAGTCACTTTGACCTCTTGACTCAGAGCCAACTCCAGTTTCAACAATCTATCCAAAGTCAGTTGAGTAAACTCATTTCTGCATTGTTTGAGAGACAAAATGGTACCTTGCTTAGCCAACCTGAAATTAATCAAAGAGGCAAAGAAGTGAATCATATTGGAACTGTAACGACCCTGGATTTTTCAACCCAGTGTGTCCTGTGATGACCCGAACCGGATCCAAGATGCGGAAGAAAAAGATAAAACAATGGTCTCAAGAGACATAACACGTCCCTAAGACACCAATGTGACACTCAATGAGGTCACGGAACCCAAAGAAAAACAATTGCGGAAGCGACGTTTCAAAAACGGACGAGAATGGACCTAGGGGCAAAATGGTCATTTCTAAGGTAAAAATGGGTACTA